CCCCGCCTGCCCACAGGGCCTCCCACCCTGCCTGCCCCAGCCTCACCCCACCCCCTCCTGACAGAGTCTTCTCTGACCGTCTGGTGGATGCTGCAGACATGGAGGCCTTCATGTGCATCATCAGCGACAAACTAGGCTCTTTCTTTGACCTCACATTTCATAATCTTTGTCCCAACAAACGTCCTCCCATCTTCGGTGAGCTGGCGCCCCCGCCGCGGGCCGCAGGCACTGGGAGGCGGCCTGGGAGGAGGGCCGGGGCCTGGGGTCCCTGGGGGGAGCCTGGCAACGACCACCGGGCCTTCAGGACCTGAGCCCCGCTTCCCTTGGCCCAGGGGACTTCATGCGGGAGCCCAAGGTGTACGAGGACCTGACGGACCTGGCGGCGCTGAAGGCGGCCATGGAGACGGCCCTCCGCGAGTACAACCTGTCCCCCACCGTGGTCCCCATGCAGCTGGTGCTCTTCCGCGAGGCTATTGAGCACAGTGAGCGCTTCCTCCCCGGGAGTCCCGCTCCCAGCGCGCTCGTCCCCAAGCAAGGCTGCGAAGCCACTTTCCTCTCTGGCCCAGGTGGCCAGTGGCCATGGTGGGGCTTTCCCTGGCCGCGTGGCGGCTGGCAGTGGGATCGCCGCCGGCCTCGGGCGCTGGCCCCTCCCCCCACGTCGTGGTCCCTGTCCTGGGTTTCAGACACCGCGATCCCTAGCGTAGGGCCCGGTGGTCCCCCGGGGTGGCACAGCGGCCTCACCCCTGTCTCCGCTCCCCAGTCACACGGATCGTGCGGGTCATCGGACAGCCGCGGGGCAACATGCTCCTGGTGGGCATCGGGGGCAGCGGGCGCCAGAGTCTGGCCCGCCTGGCCTCCTCCATCTGCGAGTACACCACCTTCCAGATCGAGGTCACCAAGCATTACCGGAAGCAGGAGTTTCGCGAAGGTAGGCGTGAGGGATCCCATGGTGCCAGGGAAGTGGAGAGGTGAAGCTGGTGGCGAGGGGGGCCAGGCCCCCGAGGGGGGGGTGCTGTGCTCGGGGCACAGGCTGGGGGCGGCTCCCCACCTCGCAGAAGGGGAGCAAGGGGTGGGATGGTGAGTCTGACGCCGGCCGGCCCCCCCCTCCCCTGCCCTCCTCTGGCCCAGATATCAAGCGCCTGTACCGCCAGGCAGGGGTGGAGCTCAAGGCCACGTCCTTCCTCTTCGTGGACACCCAGATTGCCGACGAGTCCTTCCTGGAGGACATCAACAACATCCTGAGCTCGGGCGAGGTCCCCAATCTCTACAAGGCCGAGGAGTTCGAAGAGGTTTGAGCCCTTCTCTGTCCTCCAGCTTGAGGCAGCGCAGATTCCAGAACAGGCCCCCTCGGCGGCCCTCTGTCCATCCCTCCCCGACCCCCTTGTCTCCCCCTCAGTCACCCGCACCCCACGTGGCTTTAAAACCCGCACCCGCCCTGTCCCGTCCGGGTGTGGCTTCGTGCAGATCCAGACGCTCATCTCGGAGCAGGCCAAGGCCGAGCAGCTGCCCCAGTCCTCCGACAGCCTCTTCGCCTACCTCATTGAGCGCGTGCGCAACAACCTGCACATCATTCTCTGCCTCAGCCCCGTGGGCGACCCCTTCAGGTGACTCCTGGGACAGCCTCTCCCTCCCTGTCCACCCTGGCCCCCTGCACCTTCCCAGTCCTGAATCGGGTCCTGAATTGCTCGGGCTCTCCCGCCCCGCCCTGCTGGGCCCTAGGCCTCGGCTACTTTCAGGCTGGGCCCGCTGCTCACATGGGAGTCGTGTGCTCCTCTGTGGTGTGTGGGACTGCATCGTTTCCTTGTCGTTTTGTTTTGTTTTAATTTTTTTTTTAAAACGTTTATTTATTTTTGAGAGAGAGAGAGATAGAGACAGAGCATGAGCCGGGGAGGGGCAGAGAGAGAGGGAGACACAGAATCCGAAGCAGCTCCAGGCTCTGAGCTGTCAGCACAGAGCCCGACGCGGGGCTGGAACCCACGAACCGCAAGATCATGACCTGAGCCGGAGGTGGACGCTTAATTGACTGAGCCCCCCAGGCGCCCTTGTTTTGAATTTTTGGATCACGATTTTAAAAACACAAAATAACATACAGTTTGCCATCATCACCATTTCTCAGATGTACGGCGCAGTGTCGTTAAGTATATTCACATCATTGTATGACAGATTTCTAGAACTTTCTCATCTTGCAAAACTGAAACTCTACACCCGTTGAGTAATTCCCCATTCCCCCCCCCCCCCTCAGCAACCAGTGACTCCTTTCTGTTTCTGCGCGTGACCACTCTAGGTACTTCCTGTAAGTGGAGTCATACAGCTTTTGTCTTTTTGTGTCTCGCTTATTTCACTCGGCCCGGAGTCCTCAAGCTCCCTCCATTTATAGCAGGTTTCAGAACTTCCTTGCTGTGTAAGGCCGAGTAATAGTCCGTGATGCGTATATGCCACGGTTTGCTTAGCCTTCCTTGGTGTGACTCGGTTTTAAGGGCATCAGAGAGGAGGAGGGAGACAGAACGGTATGGAGAGGCAATCGGGGCCGCCCCTATGTTTGTCCTATTTATGGTATCACCGCGCCAGGCGCTGCTGCACATTTCACACGTGTCACACCCCCCCCCCCCCCCCCCCCCGCCCAGCCCCGAGTCTGCTAGCAGCCCTGGTTAGTGTCCCTCTTAAGGAAAGTGATGTTCACTGGCTCAAGATCCACAGCTGGGTGTGAACCAGGCCATCTGTCCCTAGATGCTACACTGAGCTCTGGGGGGAGCCGGATCTGGGTGGGGCGTGGGGGCACAGGCTGGGACATGCGGGTGTCTGGAAAGTGGCCGGCCTGTGAGGGAGCCAGGAGCTGGAGGCCACCTCCGCGGATGGGACTGACCTCCTCTCAAACCCCGTCACCAGGAACTGGGTCCGCCAGTACCCGGCCTTGGTGAACTGCACCACCATCAACTGGTTCTCAGAGTGGCCCCGCGAGGCCCTGCTGGAGGTGGCCGAGAAGTCCCTCATGGGCGTGGACCTGGGCACGCAGGAGAATGTGAGGCCCTCCCCACGCACCCAGCCTGAGTCCCCTCCCGCGTCCCTCCCCCACCTGCCTTCACTCTCCGCCTCGCACTCTTTTCCGCGGGCCGCAGATCCACAGGAAGGTGGCCAAGATCTTCGTCACCATGCACTGGTCCGTGGCGCAGTACTCGCAGCGGATGCTGCTGGAGCTGCGGAGGCACAACTATGTCACGCCCACCAACTACCTGGAGCTTGTGTCAGGATATAAGAAGTACGGGGGAGCGCCGGGGGGGTGGGGAGGGCTTGGTGGCTTTTGAGGGTGACTGGCAGAGTGATGTAATGGGAAATGCCCAGGAGCCGGCCCAGGCCGATGACCCCGAGAGGCAGGGATGCGGGGCGGGGGTCTCATTCTGCGCAGGGAGTTGACAAACGAGAGGTGGGCTTCCCAGGGTGCGTGGCCTCCGCTAAGCTCTGTGGCCTGGGCCTTCCCTCCACCCTCTCTGTCCTTACTTCTGGAACGCTGTGTCTTTTTCCAACCTCAGTACAACGGGGACATGAGCACACACCCCAATGACATGTATGTATCAGTGCTCTCCTCTCTGCCCTTAATGTCTTCTAGACTTTCCACCACCCGCAAGAGTTATGTATTCACTTATTAAGTCATGTGGATGGCCTCTTCGTGTGCACAGCACAATAATAATTTGCTTTGAAAGATGTAAAAGGAATGTAAGAAAAGCCTCACCTCATTATTAGGTTCAATATTTTGATCAGGGTGAAGAATGAGCCACTTGTGAAAATCATGATCATCCTCATTCATTCATTCATTCATTCATTCATTCAACATGTAGTTTTGAGCATCCACCACGAGGCACACAGTATCCTAGGCGCCTGCAGTGGTTAGCGAAATAAAGTCCTCGCCTTCTCCTGGCGACTAGCCGTCCGCCTGTTTACTATTTGCCCAGACTCTGTGCTGAGCCCTTGACGCACGTTTCTTCATTCTGTCCAGAAAATAGTGCTGCGTAGATTTTTTTTTCCAGTCTGTACAATGTTGAAAACTTTCAGAGTAAGCTGCTGACGTTTAAAACAACAGGCTTAGAAAAATCCAGATTTCCAGCTTTTCTTTAAAAATCACGCATTGTGGGGCACCTGGGCGGCTCCATCGGTCGAGCGTCCAACTCTTGATTTCGGCTCAGGTCGTGATCTCACCGTTCGAGAGATGAAGCCCCGAGAGAGGCTCTGTGCTGATGGCATGGAGCCTGCTTGGGATTCTCTCTCTCTCTCTCTCTCTCTCTCTCTCTCTCTCTCTCTCTCTCTCTCTCTCTCTCTCTCTCTCTCTCTCTCTCTCTCTCTCTCTCTCTCCCTCCCTCCCTCCCTCTCTCCCCCTCACTCCCTCCCCTGCTGGTGTGTGCGCACACGTGTGCTCTCTCTTAAATTAATTAAAAGGAAAATCAGACATTGTGGCAGAACGGAGCCCACATTCCTTCCCACGAGGGGAACCCGGGTGGAGATGAATGAGAGGAGGCCACCCCCTGGGGACAGGCTTGTGCTGTCTGGGTCTCGGCAGCCCCTGCACCAGTGTCTAAGAAGCTGCTGTGTCGGTGGCGGCGGCAGCTGGGGAGACGGGGCTCAGCCCCCTCCCCCGGGCTCCTCACCCCGCTCTGCGCCCCAGGTTGCTGGGGGAGAAGCGGCAGGAGCTTCTGGACCAGGCCAGCAAGCTGCGGACGGGGCTGTTTAAGATCGACGAGACCAGGGAGAAGGTGGAGGTGATGTCCCTGGAGCTGGAGGAGGCCAAGAAGAAGGTGGCCGAGTTCCAGAGGCAGTGTGAGGAGTACCTGGTCATCATTGTGCAGCAGAAGCGGGAGGCGGATGAGCAGCAGAAGGTGGGAGGGTTCCCGGGCCCTGCCCCCCAGCCCCCGGAACCACCAGTGCCCATGGGGCGGGGCTTTCCAGGCGCCATCAGGGTCCGTGGGGGCGACGTGGTGCCCCTCACGTCTTCTTCAGCTCATCTCCGGTCCCTCTTGCTACCCCAACACTCCCCCCACCCTTGCCCTCGCCCAGGGCGGAGACAAACGCCGTCCCCTGCGTCCCTAGGCCGTCACAGCCAACAGTGAGAAGATCGCAGTCGAGGAAGTCAAGTGCCAGGCACTGGCTGACAATGCCCAGAAGGATCTAGAAGAAGCGTTGCCAGCCCTGGAAGAGGCCATGCGGGTATCAAGGCTCAGGGGGAGGGAAGGGGACAGGCTTCTGTGTCCTTGAAGTCCCTGGGGACGTGGGAGGGAGAGGGCGTGTCTCAGCGGGGGCGCGTCTCCTCTGTGCCCCCCGCACCCCCCCCCCCAATTCCCTGCCCGGCCCTGCTCCCTGAGTGGGTCCCGTGTCCCAGGCTCTGGAGTCCCTGAACAAGAAGGACATAGGCGAGATCAAGTCGTACGGTCGGCCCCCCGCACAAGTGGAGATGGTGATGCAGGCAGTCATGATCCTTCGGGGCAACGAGCCCACGTGGGCGGAGGCCAAGAGGCAGTTAGGTGAGCTGGACGCAGGTCGTGTAGCCCGGCTCACCCGTTTCTTAATCGGTGCCGGGGGTGGGGGGTGGGCTCGTAGGAAAGAGGAGACGAAAAGATTAGTTAAGATTCTTCGGTTAAGATTCTTCAGTTGTAAGGAACAGAAAACAACTCCTCTTCATTTAAGCAAAAAAAAAAAAAAAAAGAAAAAGAAAGAAAAGAAAAGATGCGGGACGTGGCCCCGATGCAAGGGCGGGAAGCCCTCTGGGCCCCAGAAAGACGCGAGCCAGAACGTGTGAAACGGGAGTCTTTCTGTTTCATTCCTGTGGTTTTCCCTGCGTTGAGCTTCCTCGGGGGGAACAAGGCCTGCGGCTGCAGTTTGGCGACCCCTGCCCTAGACAGAAAGCGCAAGGTGTGTGGAAGTAATGTGTGTGTGTGTGTGCGTGCGCACTGGTGTATAAGTGATGTGTGTGTGTGATGTGTGTGTGTGTGGAAGTGATGTGTGTGCTGCTGTGGAAGTGATTGTGTGTGTGTGGAAGTGATGTGTGTGTGTGATGTGTGTGTGCTGGTGTGGAAGTGGTGTGTGTGTGTGTGCGCGCACACGCGTGCGCATGCATGTGCTGGGGCAGGGGCTTTGGCCCCGGCAAGTGGCGGCCACGGCCGCGGGGCTAGGAGGACAGGCCGTCCTGGCGGCCTCTGGCTGAGGCCCCTCTTTCCATCCGCAGGTGAACAGAACTTCATCAAGTCGCTGATCCACTTTGACAAAGACAACATCTCGGACAAGGTTCTGAAGAAGATCGGGGCCTACTGCGCCCAGCCCGACTTCCAGCCTGACATCATCGGCCGCGTGTCGCTTGCGGCCAAGTCCCTGTGCATGTGGGTGCGGGCCATGGAGGTGAGCGGGGCCCCCGCAGGCTGAAAGCGGGGAGGGAGCCCCGGGCTTGGCGGGGGGTGGGGGGGAGCCGCGGGCGGGGGAGGGGGCAGTGGCCGCCACAGCTGGGCCGTCTCCCCGCAGCTGTACGGGCGGCTGTACCGCGTGGTGGAGCCCAAGCGGATCAGGATGAACGTGGCCTTGGCCCAGCTTCAGGAGAAGCAGGCGGCGCTGGCGGAGGCCCAGGAAAAGCTGCGGGAGGTGAGCCCGTGCCCATCTTTTCCATGATGGTCCCTCTCCCTGGTTCCATTCATTTCCCCCCTCCGCCCCCCCGCCTCCCGCTCTGCGCTCCCCCAGCCGGGCACCCCTGGCTCGAAGCTGAGCCCCCCGAGGAGGGTTACGGAGGCGTGGCGGGCGCTGCCCTTCCCAACTCGACTCGGGGCTGGTGGGCTCTCTTGTAGGCTTTGGGGGTGGGCTGGAGATGGGTAAGTGATGAAATCCGGGTGGCAAATCAGTGTCTGCCGGGGCGAGGGGGACAGGGCAAGCGAGTGACGCAGCGGGGCTGGGGCCACGCTGGAGGGACAGGGAGCTCCGCGCTGAACGCGGGCAAGACACCCAGTCGGTGACTTCCTCCAAGACATGGGGACAAGTGCGGCGACTGGGAGGCTCTGGCGGTTTAGCTTCCAACTCCTGATCTCGGCGCAGGCATCCATCAGAGGGTCGTGAGTTCAAGCCCCACTTTGGGCTCCATGCTTTGCATAAAGCCCACCTCAGAGAGCCAGGTGGAGCGCAGCCCTCACGGGGGTGCAGGGGGCTGTTGTCAGGGGTTCAAGGCTTTCCCCATGTGTCCTGTGCGTTTTCCGTCCCTGCTTCCATAGGATTTAACATCCGCACGGTGCGGAATTCAAAAGGTAGAAAGAGTATGGTGAGAAGCCTCCCTCTTACCCTCTGTCCCCCTGCCTTAGAGTTCTGTGTGTCCGCCCAGGCGGCTCCACGCTCAGATAAGCAAACGATTTTCATTTCTGTAACTGAACTTGGTTCCATTCGGGTGCCCCGTGCGCCTGCGCCGGGCCCTGCGGCTCTAGCGGGCGGTGCGCCACCACTCGCACGGCCGCTTCCCTTTCCGATGGAGACATGCGCCTTTTCAGATAGCCCAACTGGCCACACGTTCTCCAGATGTTTCCCCGCCACCACGAATGGACAGCATGCAGGTCTCACGTCCTCGAATCGGATGGAGACCCCGAGGGTCAGCAAGATGAAGGGACTTTCTAGTTGCCGCCAGAGCCGGGCTGGAGCCCACACTGCCCGACCCCTAGCCCCGCTCGCCCGTCTTTTCCTGCTGCAGACGGCTGTCAAGGGCAGCCGCCCCCGGGGCCTCTTCCGGCCCCTTCTGTGCTGAAGCAGCCAGGCAGGGGCGGGGCGGGGGGGGGTCTGTCCACACACCATCCTCCACCGCCCCGTCCCTGCGGCCACTGCCACCCCCAGCCTCTCACGTACCGGCCACTCTTTCACCGTCTCTTTTGAAAGTCAACAATCCAGGGCTGGCGATCAGTTTGGAAAGTTCCTCCCCCGATGGTTCCTTCCCGGGACGTGTGAGCAATGGGGCCTGTGGCGTCAGCCGCCGACAGCGTCCTTCACCGGGAGAGTGTTTGCAGAGCACCCACGTTAGGTCTTGAGACCCCTCACCGGTAAGAGCAGACAGGGACCCAGCTTTCCCGCTGCTACTACAAAGGCCGTGAGTGTAAGAGCGAAACGTACCTTCTGACGGGCCAGGCCCGCCTCCCCGCCCGCTTACAGGCGGCCCCGAGCCCCCTCCGGGCCGCACCCCACACCTGCCCGTACACACCTCTGGTGGAGCCTGGACATCAGCATCGTGAAAACTTCCCGGCCCGAGCCAGCCAGGGGTGGGAGAGCCTGTGCCCGGCGCCAGGGCCCAGAGGTCCAGAAAGAGGCCCCGAGCTCAACTACGTCGCTTACCAATTCACGTCTTCAGTAAACAGTTTTAACCTTTACTCACTTGCTGGGGCCCCTGAAAATAGATTTTCCTCAGGCCCGATTCAGACACGCGGTGAGAGTCTGGCTGAGAAATTGCCCCAGGCGCCTGGGGGCTCAGTCAGTTAAGCATCCGACTGGGTTTCAGCTCAGGTCAGGATCTCACGGTTCGTGGGCTTGGACCCCGAGTCAGGTTCTGTGCTGACAGCGCAGAGTCGGCTTGGGCTTCTCTCTCTCTCTCTCTCTTTCTCTCTCTCTCTCTGCCCCTACCCTCCTTGCATGGTGATTTCTCTCTCTCAAATAAACTTAAAAAAGAAAAAAGTCCAAGGAGCTAGCAAGGCATGCAGGTCTTACAGACAGAATTATGCTCCCAGGAGCCAACAATTCCTGCCGGTGCAGAGACCACGGTGAAAACCCACGAATGAGGACTCGTGGAGAAAAGCTTGCGTTTTCGCTTCCCCACAATGTCGGTTACGTGGACATCATGGCCTGTGAGCTCACCTGGAACTGGGAGACACCCTCCCGCGATCGATTCATATGACGTAGCATCCACCCGGAAAGCATTTCGCGTGCAGGGCCGGCTGGACGTCCACACGTGTGCATGTGCTTTTTGGAGAGGCGGTTACTGTGACACATTGGGTTTCCTGCCGTAAATCCACCGTCGCCCATCGTGAAGTGTGGGACTGGGTGGCATTAAGGTGTCCCCTGTGTTGGGCAGCCATACGGAACCCCCACACGGAACCCCTGGCCGTCCCTTCAAGTATCGGATCCCCCTGACCTTCAGCACATTCCTGACCCGCCGCCGCTGCTGCTGCAGAAGCTTGTGCCCCGGGGACCTTGCCGGGCACAGGTCCTCTGCCGCCCGGGTCTCAGGCGCAGCTCTGCTCCCCTCCGGAGCCCCCCGGCTCGTCCTGGCGCGCTCCCTTAAGGCACGGTAATACCTGCACTCCACCTGCCCTCCCCGTGTCACCCGGAATCTCACCCAGGACGGGACCCCTCCCTTGTCCCAAGCCTGAGGACGAGCCACGAACTCCCCCTTAGCCCTGAACTTACAAAAACTAAAAAACGAGACAGCGGACCCAGTGGCACGTAGGCCTGGCAAAAGCCATTGAGAGCTAGAACCCACAGTACACGCGGAGTGTACAGTCTTGCCATTGAGACCAGCAAGCGTCGTCATCGTCCATCAGGGCCTGACAACCCCTCCCCGACTTGGAGCGGGTCAGCGTGTCGGCACTTCTGGGCTGTCGCCATGGCCGCCTTCATCCTGAGGCCGCCCTCGAGCCCCAGCCCAGTCGCCACGAGGCTGCTCTGTTTGAGGCAGTCCTGCCTCTGCAGAAATGGCCACTTACCTGTGGACAAAGCCACAGTCATCTGTCAAGATCAGAATATCTCAGTGTCGGCTCCAAGCCTTTCACCCGGGCGACAGCCACACCGGTGTAAAAACCCACTGCGCCCGTTGTGAGCCCGTGCGAATCCTCCAAGTCAAAACAGGCTTCCACACCCCAAAGTCTGCCCTTGAAGCTCCAAGGCCCAGCCAAAGCTGTTCAGTGGAGCATCCCAGCGTGTTCTTCCTGATTTCACCAGTCAGATGAGTCACGCACCCTCCCCCCCAGAAGGAGTGTGTTGTGGAGGCATGGAGAAAGTCTTCCCACAGACAAGGCAATGGCCAAGATAAAAAATTAAAGCAAAACGTGGCCCCAGGAGACACAATAAACCCAGAGATGATTCAGGTTACCGAGAAGCACTTACAAAGCCAATCTAATGCAAAAATTGGTGTCACCAGAGGGTGAATAAGGAGGAAATGATGCCCAGAAAGCAGAAAGAGGATGTGAAGAGAAAAATCACAGAGAACAAGGAAGAATTCTGGGAAAGTGAAAAATGATCAGAGGCCGTGCTATTCAGTAGGAGGTAGAGTCAAGGAAGAAAAACAACCATGACAACAGTAAACCCAAACGACACACAAGAGAGATACGAGACGCAATCTGACCGATCGGAATTTCTGCAGGAGAACAGCACAGAATCAGGGGTAATAGGAAGCGATTTCACAACTGGTTCAGCGTGCGCAGCGGCCCATCGGTCAGCCCCAGACACACACACGGCTCAGCCCGGTCATGGTCACCATGGTCTGTGCTATTGCGTTGCTCGTGGCCTTCAGCTCTCTTACAGTCAGCCTGGAGACAAAGCATGGAAGCCCGTGACTTCTGAGCGGGAATGTTGTTATCAGCCTTGACAATATAAAAATAAAAGTATAGGGGCACCTGGGGGCCTCAGTCGGTTAAGCGTTCGACTACGGCTTAGGTCACGATCTCGCAGTTGATGAGTTGGAGCCCCGCGTTGGGCTCTGTGCGGACATCTCAGAGCCTGGAGCCTCCTTCAGAGTCTGTGTCTCCCCCTCTCTCTCTCTGCCCCTCCCCCACTCATGCTCGCTCGCTCGCTCTCTCAAAAATCAATGAATGTTAAAAAAAATTTTTTTAGGGGTGCCTGGGTGGCTTAGTCGGTTAAGCGTCCGACTTTCGCTTAGGTCATGATCTCGCGGTTCGTGGGTTCGAGCCCCGCGTCGGGCTCTGTGCTGGCTGCCGGCTCAGAGCCTGGAGCCTGTTTCAGTCTGTGACTCCCTCTCTCTCTGGCCCTCCCCTGCTCACGCTGTCTCTCCCTCTCTCTCTCCTAGAAATAAATAAAACATTTAAAAAAAATTTTTTTTTAATCTTAAACCTACAGCTAATAAAGGCTGGGAGCTGGGTATAGGTGGGGGTGGGGTAAAGATTGAGCAATGCTTTTGTAGGAGATAAAATAAAACGGGTTTTTTAAAATTTGTTTTTGAGAGACAGACAGAGTATGAGCAGGGGAGGGGCAAAGAGAGGGAGACTCAGAATCCAAAGCAGGCTCCAGGCTCCGAGCTGTCAGCACAGAGCCCAACATGGGACTTGAACCCACAAACCACGAGATCATGACCTGAGCCGAAGTCGGACGCTTAACTGACTGAGCCACCCACGCGCTCCCAAACAGGGTTTAAAGATGGTATTCAGCGATATAAAGGTTAAGGGGTTGAAGCATTCTCTCAGTCAGGAGCAGGGAGAAGGGGGTGTGGTGGGGAGGGGAGAGGGTTACCCCCGCATCCACTGTAGCACGGAGGCCATAGAAATAGTTTCAGATGGACAGTACAGGAAACAGCAGTATGGAATACACCTGCGTGTGTACAAAACGTCTCTAGCGGAATGTTCAAGAAGCAGGTCACGTTGGCTACCTCAGGGAGGGAGCAGGGTGGATGGGGGGAGGGCAGGCGGGGAGACTTTTCATGCCCATAATTATCCCTTTTGAATTTTTAAGTCACTTATTCACAAAGCAAACAAAATAAAAAAGAAAAAGCAGCGTACAAGGACGTTCGCTCCAGCATCGTTAATAATAGAACATGCTGGAAAGACACACACGTCTGTCAGAAGGAGACTTGTTATATAAATTATGGCTCAGTCATTCACAAGATTATTTTGCAGCTGTTAAAGAGAATGAGGCGGCCTGACAAGAACCGATTTGGAGACAAGGAAAAAAAATAGTCAAGTGCAGTAGTGTGTTAGCATTTATCTCCGTGAAAAAAAATTCATCCAGTCAAGAGACTCTTCCCGAGGGCTGGGCACTCTTCTCAGTGCAAGGATTTGGCAGGGAGCAAGGGCCTGCCTTCACCATGCATGTGTGTATTACGGGTGGACCCTGCGCACGGGCTCTGTAGCTCTAGAAGGAATTCTGGGGGCTGGAGCTGGGGCAGGAGGAAGCCAGATCCTTCACCGTGTGTTTTTTTCCTTTTGATGTGGATTCACTCTTTACAAAAAGACATAAAAAGAAGAAAATTATGTTTAAAAAGGAAAAAAAAGACAAAGTTGCGGTGAGGTGTGACAGTGGCGTTATGATCGTGTGGGAGGGGTCCTTGGTTTGTTCTAGATCTGCGCTGGGAAGTCTTGAGGCTGACATTTCATGAGTCTGTAACTTCCTTGAAGACACTTTGGCAAAGGACAAGTAGATGAACGAAAACGAGCAGAACGTTAACAACTGTTGAATATACATGACGGGGGTAGAGGTATTCATTATATGATTCTTTGTCCTCGGTTTGCAATTTTTCATAATTTTTGAGTTAAAAAGATTAAAACTGCAAACAGATTAATGTATATGTAGATGAATGTGTGTGCATATATATAGCCTAAGCATGATATTCAGAGAGATGGAGGCAGCTGCCAGAAGAAATAAAGAGAGAAATAGTTAAAAATAATTTGCAGGGGGGCCTGGGTGGCTCAGTCGGTTAAGCGTCCGACTTCGGCTCAGGTCATGATCTCACAGCTTGTGGGTTTGAGCCCCTCGTCGGGCTCTGTGCTGACAGCTCGGAGCCTGGAGCCTGCTTCCGATTCTGTGTCCCATTCTTTCTCCGCCCCTCCCCGACTTGTGCTGTCTCTCAAAAATAAATAAATGTAAAGAAAAAAATTAAAAAAA